CAAAAAGGGCCTGGAAAAAGCCTCAAAAATGGGCTGAAAAAAGCATTTAAAATCCCCCCCCCAAGGGCTCTAAAATGCGTAGAAAAATGGCTGGAAAAGAGCCCAAAAAGGGCCTGAAAAAAGCCTCAAAAATGGGCTGAAAAAAAGCATTTAAAATCCCCCCCCAAAAGGTTCTAGAATGCGTAGAAAAAAGGCTGGAAAAGAGCCCAAAAAGGGCCTGAAAAAAGCCTCAAAAATGGGCTGAAAAAAAGCATTTAAAATCCCCCCCCAAAAGGTTCTAGAATGCGTAGAAAAAAGGCTGGAAAAGAGCCAAAAAAGGCCCACAAAAAGGGCTGAAAATGCAGAGGCATTTTCCCCCTTTTCTAAATTTAGGTGCATCTTATAGGCAGGTGCGTATTATAATCTTAAAAATACGGTAGTGGGTGTTTTACAGCCCCACTTAGATGGGCTCCTCCAGTGGTGAGAGAGTTCAGTGGTGAGAGAGTTCAGCTTGGTGGGACTCTCAGCCTGGAGTCCCACCAGGAAGAGAGAAAAGGAAGAGGAAGCTCACTCAGCCATTTTTTCCATATTATAGCAACAATGTAGGCCATGTGAGAAGTTCCCTCCTCTATTTAAAGTATCACCCCCACCCCCTTGACCCATAAGGAACTCATCTCCCCTCAGTAGTTGCATGAAACCCTTTTTCTTTTTATCATAATTGACTAAATAAATTTAGATGACCACTAGAGGACACTAAAGGATCTTTTTCAGTATTTCTTTACTGCTATCTAGCTCCATTAAATTTTTGATGCCCAGCTCTGGTAGTCCTACAACCAGGTTTGTTGGAGCCTGGCATAACCGGCTCTGCCTGCCTCCTCTGTTTTCATTATATTCTTGCTACTATCATCACGTCTCTTCTCAATATACACCCATTTTGTTTTTCAGTCTCTCATCCAATTTTTTATTACCTCTTATCCAATTGTAGTTTTTCACATTTTTTTTAAGTGAAGAGATACTGAAATTTAGTGAGATATTTTTTTAAAAGTAAAGAAACATTAAAAACTAAGATAATATATAAGCAAGCAAAGTTCATGCAGAACTACACCCTTGAGAACTTTGTTTTTAAATCTATGGAAAGTTCTGTGCTGTCTTTTGCAATGATTGCAATTTCCTGACCACTAAGCCACTCTTCTAGCCTGTAATTATACTATTTCGTAAGAAATAAAGAAAAAACCTGCTTGAAATTAGGAGGGGCTTCTAGGTTTCTGGCTGCTGTGATATGAGTATTTAAATGCACCTTGGATTATCCTAAAAATATAGCATACATATTCCTGCTTGTATCTCATTAACTTTTTCCCAACAATACTGTAACAAGTTAATCGGGAGAGAGTGGTAATATAGTAACATGAATTCCAAAATACAAAAGGGAATTTTAGTTTCAAACTTGTATCTATGTCTACTGTATTCCAGCAAAAGTAGCACTATGTCTTCATTACAACAAGTTCATTACACAAAGTATGCTTGAATCAAGGAAAACATAAAAATCTGAGAAACAAATGGATAGATACAAGTGATCAGGATAAAAATTTAGGACCATTTCTAATGTTTCAGAAATATCATATTTAAGTTATTACATGCACATTACTTGATTACACATGGTTAATTAAATAACACAATTGGCTTAGTCTGCACAGTATACTAAACCAAAAGCAAACAAACCACATGGCATCTAACATACTGTGCAAATGTTAAGAAAGTTGCAGAATTAAATATAACACTAATCTATCAGTGAGTTTATTGCAAATCAGTTCCAATTTCTGGCACTTGCCTACCTGCTGCCGTGAAGCCTCTCGCTAAGGAAAAGGCGAGTTGCCCCGCACCGATGAATCCCACACTCATGGTAACAAGTTTCTAGAAGCAACCTAAGAGATCCCTGGTATTTAAAAAAAATGATAATATCAACTAAACGTGCCGGTGATAGTAATATAATTCTTGCAAATTACAGAAACGGTCTTCAGGTTTTGCACTGGATTTAGAGAATAGGTAGATTCAACTATCTGGGAGGGGGGGGAAGTTTAGAAGAGCTACTGCAGGATTCCTAACTAAGTCTCACCCTCAACTTGACATCACAGCTCATTTAATCTTTTTCCTTTCTTGGAGCCTCCCAGCTGCTGCTCTGCTTTTCTTCCTGTCCATCCTACCGTCCCTGTCCCTCGAAAGCGATCGTCCATTCCCTTTGCATCGCTGATCGATCCTTTCCATACTCTTCAGGTTCTCCCCGACCTCCCCCCCCCCCACAATACGCGTTTCTATAGAGCCCACTTACCCCCTAGCGAACAAACCTGATACTCCCACGTGGCTCGTTCACAATCGGAGGGGTGGTGGTGAAAAAAAGCCGTGGCAAAGCACAGGACACATAATTGCTCAGCCAATCCGAATGAGAGGGTGTGGCCTCCTTGCCTTCTCCTTCAATCAGCTGCTGAGCAAGCGCATCGCCCGCTAGCTATTGGAGTAAGCTTTGTTTGCAGTTGCATCAGTCGACCTTCCACGGAGGCCGCGAAGGACTGATTTCTTCGAGCGATGCTCGGGCTTTGTTTTTTTTGCCGGTAATGGCTGCTACATCCTGGGTGTTTCCATGATTAGTACGATACATTACGGGTTCACGATTGCGCTGCCTCCTGGGAATTGTAGTCTCAGATTTTTAAAAAACCACACCTGTTTGAAAAAATAGGTAATAGAAAAAGAGTGCTATCTCTTAAATGCGGCTCTTGATTTAAAATGCTTGGAATGAAATTTGCATGGAAACCATATCGTTTGATCCGACAGCAGTATTTTCTAGCTGCAATGCTGCTAATTCAACTTTAGAGAGG